AACAATGCTAATCCTCACTTTGGCTGAGTTATGTGCGTTAAACCTCGTTCCTACAGTTTGATCCAGAAAGACAGCCTGCTCTATCAGCATTTACAGCCATCAGTGGCACTTTGCATATGTGTATTATGCATTTACAATTACCCCAGGTTGGGAACTTCATAAAAGTACACGCTAATCTGTGGAAAAAAGAACATTTTGCATTGTACGGGTGCAGCGCTTAACATGATCTTCATTTGTTTATACTTGAGGAAATAGTACTATAGTGTTGGGATAACATTGTGACTTGTATTGGAAATAGAATAAAATAAATCATTATATCAACTGTTGTATTATTACTTAGTATCTTGAAAGTATCCATGAATAGGGGACAAAGCTGGGAAGCTGTGCCTTCTGTGAGGAATTTTCAAGTATAGGACCTGGCACAGGACTCGGCAGGGGTGGTTATGCCCTGCCAACGCGTAAGTCGCAGAGAGGATAAGATGGGAGCCCAGTGTGCTAGTCTGAGATGCAAAATGTGAGACTGGCCAGATCAGCTTTCCTCTCCCTCCAGCAGGCCCCTACTCAGGCCCCTGATGATACGCATGTTCTGTGTGTGCCAGTACCACTCAGAGGACGGCACTACTCTGGGGAACACCTCATATTTAAATACCAGCCAGGGTAGAGATTTCTCAGCACCAGGAGGGCCCCAAGCCTACTCTCTACCGAAATATGAGTATAGATCACTCAGTGCCAAAGCTCCCCTTTTGACTTCCCTAACTTACTGCAGTTAATCTTTAGGCAAAACTAAGCGCTACATTTTGTCTCTCTTGCAGACATTCTGACCAGCCAGCTTCTCTTCCAGTGTTATAATAAGTCAAGTACACTCTAATCATCATCATGAACGCTTCTAACACTGCTCTTCCTCAATCTAGCTATACATAAATATAGTTCAACCTCAACCAGCTAGGCCTCACTTAGATTTCTGGTTATCCGAAACAAAGCTTTATTCCTGAGCCATGTTTATTAATGACAATGCCTTGATTACCCAGATATATTTCTCCACCCCTCATGATGTTTAGATAATGATGTTGGCTTTATTATCTCTTGCAGACTAGTTATTCTACAGAGAGAGATGTTCCCAATAAACAGTTGGCATTACTGCAAACAATTGTCTTAAATGAAATTAAAGTACACATTGGGAAACATAAAAATATCACGGTGAGTGAAACCGTGTTATTGATGTTTGGCTTTCCATCAATTTTATCAAGAAAATGCCCTAGAGAACATAAGAAGTTACTGGAAGTCATTCAGTTGCATTACACGCAGTTTCAGCAGAAGACAAGTAACCACAGCTGCAGGCTCCAGGCTCAGAGTGGGAAAGCCTCGGTGGAGAAACGGTGACCTCTAGAGGTTCCTCGCTCCCACGGCCACATCACCTCACGTGTTCATTTAACAATATGCAAGGTGTAGTTTGGGTTGCTTTCATCTTTGAGAAATTAAAATCGAGAAAATTAAATGTATATTTGATGATGACATAGCAACGTAAAATAAGCTAGAAAACATGGGCACGTGTTAATTTAAGAAATAAATGTTCATCTTTGAGAAGTCAGAAAACAATACTTCAAAGGACAAAAACTTCAAAGCACTCTATAACTTCAAAGCACTCCACCAACATTAATAAACACTTAGGACATGTCTGTGAGGTAGAAAAATATTTCCTTTTTTAACGCTTGTGTAAACAGGGCACAGAGATTAAGTGATTTGCCCAAGGACACATGTTAGTAGCAAAACTGAGATTGCATGTCAGAAATAACTGGCTCAAGCCTCCTTTCTCAGACCAGCTATAGCTGGGTTAAAACAGTGAGCAGATGCTCCCTGTATGGGCACTTATTCAGCAGAGGCCAAAACACAGATCCTTCCTATCAACAGCATCACCTGCCCTTTTTAAGGTCTGCTCCAAACTCCACTGTGTTGTTTTCAGCTGATAGACTCCCACAAAGTCAGTGCCGAGTATACATAGATCTATCTGAATTAAGGTAATCTTACACATACCCGGAGTCTTACTTCTGCATTTAACAATGATATTAGAGCTTAAGTGGTCTATGTGAACATTTTCAGTATTTCTATGTCATGACAATCTACTCACTACAGGCTTCTTGACAACACACAATTAAAATACAATCAATCAGCACACCTACAGCGTGAAGTTTCTCTCATGACACTGTTGAAGCTGAACCTGCACTAGTACCAATCAGAATTTTTAACTATGTCCTTCTAGACTAAAACATAAAATTTCCTCAATGCATATAAGCTGATCTGCTATATATCCATACTGCTGAACACAAAGATCCTTAAGTGCTATCTGACAAAGAAGACAGAAGCAAACCCCATCATTTTCTTTTCAAAATAACCTAATAAAGAACAGTCCTTGGATACGTGGAGCTGAAGAAGCCAGGAGAAATAAATGTGGCCTGTGAAGTACTTAGCAAGAAAAAAAAAAATCACCTTATTCCCCTCAGACAACAAATAAATGTAAAAGATAACAAAGAAGGCCAAAGATTTGCCTCTTCCTCTCTCCAACTTATTTCTTTTCTTAGGTCTTTAGTAACATTAAATTTTGCTATTCTTATTTTTGATGAAGAGCTTCCTGGTGATCCCACGCGTTTGTGGTCTCATGCACTTAATTAAAGGAGAAGAGGTGTGGAACCTTAATATTTTTCCCTTCTCTAGAACATTTATATGGCAAATAAATAGTTAACAAGTTAAAAAGATATAAACAAAAAGCATGCTTCAAACAGCCAGTTCTGAATCTCTTTTCTCAACTGTTTGGGTTTTTAATCTTTTTGTGAAGTCATTTTTGGAACAAAGGCTTAATTCTAAAAGTAGTTAAAGTACTAATTAAAAAAAAAAAGGCTTTTAAAACATAATTTCTAAAAATGAATCCATACAACAAGCTTCCAAAATTTTCTTGTCAAATGTGATTCTTGGTTTAAGACAGAATTTCCTCATGTCACATAAATACAATGAAGAATTTTTTTTTAAAATGTATAATTACATTCTGAAGACTCTGATTTGCATCTAGTAACAAGTAATCTGCTGCATATTATTTTCCCAAAATAAAGTCCCACAGTGGCTCTGAATGAGATGCTGCCTGCATATATTGTTCAAATGTTCCTCCTCAAGGCCAGTTAGGAGTACTGCACCCTTTCATTTGTACTATTTACTAGTAAAATGTCTGTATTCAGCACACTAGGAAATTACTGCCATACTAATAGACTCTTAAAGAATGTCACAATTTCTGTTTTTAAATTTTTCAGGAGTTCCAAAAATTCTTGTGCTGTCTAAATTAACAATATTGCTCAGCACTCACCTATCATTTTCTACTGCAGAACTCAAAACTTTCCTGTGAAGGTAGTCAAGTATTGCTATTTCTATTTTGCATGGGAACAATAATAATGATGACATTTCACCAAACTTTAAGTAAGGACTATTAATTTACTCAAGACACGGATAGATCTTCAGTACTTTGTTAAGTCAAATCTGAAGACTAAATAATTTGCAGATCACAGACTAAGTCATTAGCAGATTTGGGAACACAATTCAGACCCCCTGACTCCCTACAATAAACCATAGTTTTCCATGTTATGTGTTAACAATCATTAACTAAATGACAAAGGTTTTGCTACTCTTGGTGTAGTGCCCTTCTTTGCATTTCAGAGGAATTATTGGGCTCTTAAATTGGCTGTCAAATTTGCTGACTTGGTAACTGGCTGGCTTTCAAAATATATATTAAAAGTCTTGCCTTTCCCAGCTATTTCTTCAATAAATCTTTTTTTTTAAATAGAATAAGCTTTGCGATCTTACTTATAAAACTGAAGTCAACAGAAAAAAATTAAAAATCTTATCAGTCACATTGTACCTACTATTAAAGAAAATACAGGCAAAGGCAGCAGGACCCAACAGAAGGGGCACTGAACTAAGAAACAGATGGCAAAATTTCCCATTTGCTTAAATAAGGTCAAGCTTTCAGCTTTTCAGCTCATTTTACTTCTAGCTCTTACAGAACTCTGTAATCTCAATTTTTCTCTGAATTGGTTTCAGAATGTGTAGATTATTATTATTTTACTTCCTTCTCTCCATAAGGAATTTTAACACCAATAAGTTAAATTAATTACAGCTAGATTCAAAGGTCCTACACCCATATTGAAGACTATACATATTCACAGATTTAAAGCTCTGTTTAATTATACTTTAAATGTTGCATACTGAATCACACGCCTTGATCCACCTCATGTAAAAGAATTAAGTTCCAGACAGACTCCAGGTTACAGCAGAAATGACAAGCTAAATAGCCTTTAAGTTAAACATACCTCATAGACTGAAGTTGTAACTCTCATTAGAAAGGCTGGATCACTTTTTATAACTAGCCGCTTATACAGTTTATTTTTATCGAGGTCTTTATGTTTTTATTTCATTACATTACAGGGCTTTCACCTACGTAGCTGGCAATGTGTAGTCTTTCATTTAAGATCATACAAGGTATGTAATCATGGCAACAGTAACTACGGTGTGAATTTTCTTTTGTCATGTTTAATAGACTGGTCATTTAGGCACCTACAAAAAACAGCTTGGCCAGAGGAACAGAGGAACTCGATAAACAAATATATTCTCTTCAAGTATCAGATTCACAAAAGAATTATTTCTAATTATGCATAAAAAATCTGGATGCAGTCTTCCAAGTGGAATATCTTTACATATCACAGATTTTTGTTTTGTTATTAAACTTCACTTGTTGCTAAGGAAGAACAGAGAAGATCAAAGGAGTTCTAACAACTAGAAAACCAAAGGTGAGGGAGTTTTGATTTCTTTCTCATTCTTTAAAGATTTATCACTGAACTACAACGGTTGCTGGTTCATAAGTTCTATGAAAAGAATGTGTGAAATGATGTGAGCCTGCTTTGCTATTTCATATTTAACTTCAAGCATCAAACAATAGCTCAATTCACTTTTTGATTATCAACATGATCATGCATTCAACTAGCCTGTTTATAAATCCATACGCAATTGAAGTCCTAAGGACTAAAAAAGAAGAGCTAGTAGAAGGCATAAATGACCCAGACCATCTTCTGAACTGGCTGATAGACAATGGTATTTTTACCCCAGAAAAGAAGATGGTCATGAGTTTCTACAGGACACGAACAGAAAAGAACTCTCGAGTTTTAGACATACTAATTTCTCAAGGTGAACGAGCCTGCAGGCTCTTTTTTTATCCATGTTTAAAGCAAGTGGAGCCAAAACTTTATAGCAAGATGAGAAAATATGTCAGTGAGGTAAATGAAAGCATTAGAGATGCTAGAAGACAACTGATAGGATATTTACTCGAAAAAGACAAGGTTTGGTTTGAAAATAGCAGTGAACGGCACCAGGAAAAAAAAGATAGTCCTAGAAGAAAAAAGCAAGAATGGGCTATTAAGAAGAAAGGAAAAGAAACTCAACTTTCAAGAGCAGCAAAACCTAGACAAGATCATTCTGATGTTGGCATCTTTGATGCAGTCACTAAAGGCTATCTTCCTGAGTTAGAGAAAACATTGAAAGATAATGATATTAATGCACTAAACTCTTCAAGTGAAACACTTCTGCATGTTGCAGCCGCTAATGGACATCTAGCGATAATGGAATATTTGATCAGCAAAGGTGCTAAGCTAGATGTGAAGGACAAGAAAGGAAGAACACCACTGCACAGGGCTGCTGAGAAAGGCCATGGTGATGCAGTGAAGGTGCTTCTCCGATGTGGTGCTTATATGTACAGTTTGGATACGGAAGGCAAGACACCACTTCATTTGGCTGCGCAGAATAACCACAGTCACATATTGAAGATGCTCTTGAAAGAAGAGGCAAGAAGCTACAGGAACCAGCACAACTTTTTGCACATGGCAGCTCTTAAAGATGAGAGCAGTCTGGCAAAAATGCTTTTAAAGGCTGGTGCCTCCACTGATGGAAAGGATGAAAGAGGACAGACTGCTCTCAGTTATGCTGTTTCTCAGGGGTCTGAAAATACTGCAAAAGTACTGCTAGAAGCCGGAGCCAGTGTTGATTCCAACATGGCCGAAAGAGCCTTCAACAGCAACCACCCATCCATCTTCAAAATACTACTAGAATATTCTAAAGATTTGTCATCTGATGTAATGGAGTCAGCTCTTTTTAGAGCTGTACAGAAAAATCTGCATGGTATTGTAGCAGCTTTAATTGACAGAGGTACAGATAGAAACGCCTACAATGAAATGCAGTACACTCCTTTACTCCTGGCGTGTGAAACAGGCAAAGCTGAATCAGCAGAAGTTCTAATCGAAAAGGGAGCAAACTTCGGAATAAAGACTCCTGCTTCAGACACAGCTTTGCATTTGGCAGTTCAAGCTGGGGCTGCTTCCATCACAAATCTGCTTCTGCGCAAGGGGATGGAAGTTAACCTTATGAACCAAGCCGATGAAAGCCCACTCCACGTTGCTGCACTTCATAATAAAGGACCATTAGTTGGCCTTTTAGTTAATGCTGGGGCCAAAATTAATGCTGTCACTAAAAAGTTTGTTACTCCCCTGCATATTGCAAGTCAAAGAGGTAACACCGATGTTGCCCAACAGCTGTTGCACCACAAAGCCAATGTTAATGTTAAGGATAAGCAGTCAAAATCACCTTTACATTTTGCTGCTGAAAGGGGAGACAAAACAATGGTAGAGATGCTTCTTAATGCTAATGCTGACCCCAATGCACAAGACGAGGAGAAAAAGACTCCCCTGCACACTGCAGCTGTGAGAGGACATCTCAGTATTGTGAAAGTTCTGTTAGCTAAAAAGGGAAGATTTGGAGCTAAGGACATGGATGGATGTACTCCGATGCACTATGCAGCCATCAAAGGAAACACAGAGATCGTAAAAATTCTTCTGACATCAGGGAAAAATAAAAATATTGATGATAGAAACATTTGGAGAAAGACCGCACTGCATATTGCAGCGGAATATGGACACAGTGACTTGATAAATCTATTACTGAGCTATGGGGCAGCCATTAATGCCTTAGACAGCAGCAAGGATACACCATTGCATTGTGCGTGCAAGGCTGGCCATTTTAATGCTGTAAGTTCCCTCGTAAACTGGTCACAAGGAGAAAAAGCAAATTTACTAGCTGCTAATAGTCTCAAGAAGACCCCATTGCAAGTAGCAGAATTTAATAAAACAGAAAATCAGGCTCAAATTGTAACACTTTTGAAAAAGAAAATGTTAATAACAAAATGAAGATGTAAAGCAAAAACTTCTAAATTTAAATGCAGAATTCTCTTTTAACGTAATTTGGATAGTGCTGTTGCCCAGTATGATTGAGAATTATGTTAGGGCAGGCAGAATTAAATTAGCAATCAAAGGTGGCCATGGTAAAAAAGGATCTTAAAGACACTGTTAAACTGCTAAGCATTGATTTGTCTTTTGCTTCTCTCATGAATCTCATACTTGGAACCTATTTAAAAAGCACCAGTCTTAAACACATTCTGTATGACCTCCAGTATAAATCAAGACTTTAAAAAAAAAAAAGACCATCACTTTTCATATATCTGTGGATATTAGCCTGTATGGATAGCTTAATTAAGCATTGTTAGGTTAAAAAGCCATCTACTATGAATAAGGAGACATCTGTATCCTCAAGGATACAGAGCACAGAGATGTTGCAGTAGATAACACTAGTTTTGTTTAGCTTAGGCAGACCTAACTGCAGAGTGCTGCCAAAAGAGATTGATCTGCCCTCACTTTCAGTCAGCATGCCCGCTCTAGGTTGTGTGTGTGAGCTGATCCAACTTATTCCACAGCTATAACTGAACAAAGGGGAGAAGTAGGGTAGCAAATAGCTGAACAGCACTGGCTCTCCTGAGGGCAATGTAGTATTAGCTTGGTTTATGCTTACAGTATTGCTCTCCAAGCTAACTGGAGATCAGAAGGCATCCCCCTGCAAATTTACTAGTGTGGGGTAACTAGTGTGGGGTTACCCACTCCCCATGGTAATAAATCTAACTAGTGTGGGGCTACCCACTCCCCATGCTAATAAATCCTATCAAGAGGCTTGGTATAAACCAACCAGAGGAGTAGTGTGTGCCCAAAACTTTACTAACATGATGATGTTGTTTTCAGGACACTATTATGTGCTACACTGACATTCAATATTGGGCTGGACCCTCTTTAGACATTTCTATACTATACCCTATGACATGGCACTGACAGATCCCAAGACTATAACAATTATTTTTCTTTCTATCTTTCATACCATTTGTCTACATTTTGCATTTTTAAGTAGAGATAATGAAAACAATCATATTTGCTGTTTATTAATTCCACTTGCAAATAAATTCCAGCACAAAGATGAAATATTCAGAATAAAAAGGTTGCAACAGAGTTTATTGGTTCAAAATATTTGTATTGTCATCTCTTAAACCAGAAACACTTTCTTGAGTCGACGGAAGGTTCTCTGTGGTCATTTCCTATATAATGATAATCAACCCTCACGGTTCTTCACAATTCCCTTCAGTATATGATTAGATACCCACTTACCACGAAGTGACAAATACTTCTTGTGAAATGAAACACAGATTTAAGAACGTATGGGAATACAGCTGTGACTTTTATAGCCGTGCTACAACACAACCCGCACAACACCCTGCAGCTGTCATCTCCTAGATGAATGAAAAGACATGACCGCCTGCTTGGAAGTACACAGAGAGAGGCTAGCAAAAGCGACATCTGCAGCACGATGCACCGAAATAGCGTCCCTCTTCGGTCAGCGCATCACACTTCAACAGGCCCCGGTGCACCCCGGGCAGCTCGCAAAACGCCGCTAGCCTCCGCAGCCGCAAGCGAGGGAAGGCGAATCG